GCAAGGAATGGCAGTGCTTTAAGATTCTTCAGGTTTCTGTGTGACTAAGTTATTAACTTTCAAATATAACTTTTACCATTGGTTTAAGCACCACCAAAGCACTTGTGTTAATGATTATGCTATTCAGGTATAGCTAGACTGAAATTACTGCTGAAGTTAGTGACTTTGCAATTACTGAATCTTCCCTGGGGATGCACAAAATAAGTTTGCAATAGCAGTCTCACCACTCGTTTATATGTTCTTATTGGCTATTGGCAAATTGTGAGTAAGAAATCCTGCTCTATGAATATCAATTTAAAATTCTATTAAAATCACCTTAGAAAAATGTAGCTCTCTTCTTTCTCTTGTTTGTTTGTTTGTTTGTTTGTTTGTTTGTTTTCTACCACATTGCTGAAATAAAGAAGTAAAGCAAAGTGCTTGTAATAAGATTAAAATGTGCCACTGCTGAGCTCTCTCAGTTCCGGAAATCTTGTTGGATTCGGTACATGACATCTATAACGTTTCTTGCCTGGGCTGTTTCCCTTTCATGAGAGATGAATTTGTGCTTCTTGCTGAGGGAAAGAAAATCAATGCTCAAATTAGAAGATTGATGAAACTGGTTCTTCCTTGTAGTTCCTGTTGCACCTGGGAGTCCTTATGTAATCATGATTTTGTCCTTGCTATTATTTAGCTGCAAAAGACTAGTAGGGTTCATGGATGAACCTGTGGGAATGCCCAGATAATGTCTTATTAACTGTCCCAGACAAGAGCAGGTAAGAAATACTTCTTGTGGTTTCCTGGGTTTCATCTCAGTGAAACTCTTAAGCAGCAAGGAATGGCAGTGCTTTAAGATTCTTCAGGTTTCTGTGTGACTAAGTTATTAACTTTCAAATATAACTTTTACCATTGGTTTAAGCACCACCAAAGCACTTGTGTTAATGATTATGCTATTCAGGTATAGCTAGACTGAAATTACTGCTGAAGTTAGTGACTTTGCAATTACTGAATCTTCCCTGGGGATGCACAAAATAAGTTTGCAATAGCAGTCTCACCACTCGTTTATATGTTCTTATTGGCTATTGGCAAATTGTGAGTAAGAAATCCTGCTCTATGAATATCAATTTAAAATTCTATTAAAATCACCTTAGAAAAATGTAGCTCTCTTCTTTCTAAGCATTAGTGGTTGCAAAAAGGGATTTTTCTCTTATTTAATTACAATTTTATTGCTGGAAAACTGCTTCTTTTAACTCTTCTTGTTTATGTTATTTATTTACATCTGAAATGCAATTCAAACAATAAAACCTCAATTTATGTCTCCACTGAATATGGGACTTTCTAGATTCTGTACATGAAATGTCCTAATTCAAAGGAAAATTCCTTCTTTTTTGTCTCTTCCTAATTCACAGCATCTAAAGTGCCTGTGTAATTTATGTTATATATATATATATATATATATATATATACATATATATATGTATATATATATATATATTTAAAAATTAAATATTACCAAGATCATCTTTGGATTTCAAATTAAGAGATTATTATAGGTTAAAAACTTTGGATGCAAAGTAGAAAAAAAAGAGACTCCCTTACAACTCAACATTGCTCAATTGCACAAGAATGTGAACTATCACGAGGAATGCTACATTTAAAATATACTATGCCATGGAAAAATTTGTGTGGGTAGTTCTTAATTTTTATTAACATTAAAAGGGCTTGACATTTAAAAATAATAGAAAATGTTACATCAGCAACAGTAAATAGTGTGAGGAAAAGTATAAGTATTTTGAAAGACCTAGGATTTGAGTGTTTTATTCAACTCAGCATTAAATGACATTTTTTTCATTATATTAAGGATAACCGCTATCCCAATGTATATATTAAATGTAGCCCCCAAGATAGTGAAGCAAATACAGATTAAGAAATGCCATAATTCTGAAGAAACTACAGTCTCTGAGAAATTTTGAAAGGTTCTTTGTAACATTTCCTGAATAAAGCATGCTTTTTTAAGACAAAAGTTTCCTGTATCAGTTTGACTCCATCTCCCTGCAGCATTGAGAAGGATCCAATCTCCTGTTTCCCCTTGAAATCCTGAAACAATGAGTTCAATCAGCGCTTTGCTCCTGACTCCTGTATGAGTATCTGAGTATTTGAGGGGAGAGCACGTGCTCTGCTGGAGGACAGGAGTCAGCTGTGCAGTTCCCTGCTGATCTGGAAATGGAAGATCTGCCCAGCCTCGGTGGCTACACCGAGCTGTGGAGCAGCCTGTGCACGGTCAGCTGCCTCCACTGCACTGAATGTGTCTGAAGGCTCTGAGGATTCCAGGATGCACAAGACACATGAGCTAACTCCATCATGTAGGTCTCAGAGCTTCATTAAAATAAGGTTCATTATGAAATACAACATTGTGGGATTTCTCCTTGTTTTGATCTCTTAATCTGTCATGTGCTAAAATGTATAATGCCAGCTAAAATTCAGAATTTGTCACTGGCTTGAGCATGGCTGATAAGAAGAAAAAAATTACTCTAGAAAGTTTTTTGGTTATTTTTTTTCATTTTTCATGATGATTTTTCTGTCCCCCATTAGCAGGAATATCTTCAATGTTTAAGTTTAATAAATCCTCAAAGGCCCAAACTGCTGACTTCTTGCAGTGTAACATGGAAATCATTAGAAAACACATACATCTATAATGCAAATTTGGTGTTAAATGTGTTTGGTGGTCCCTGTAGAAGAGGAAGTTTTATCTTTCTTTCTGTAGGCACCAGCTTATCATTTCTTCATGCGTAGCTCTTAAGAGAGTATGCATACAGATGAGTTCTTAGATGTCTGATAGCAATTTACTTACCCAAAGATCCCATTTGCATGTGAAAAAGTAGATGTATATAGAGTCTGGGTTTCATTTTATGCTTACACTGAGCCTTTAAGTAACTGCTGCTGAGCACACCCTTGGAATAACAAGAAGCATTTACAGCTTCATCCCCTAAAAATTTATATCACTTCTGCTGGATTAATATTGTAGGAAGTTACAGGGAGTATGACAGCATACTCTGCATTTAGATGAGTACCAAAAGGAATGGGCAAGATTAAAGAATGCATGTTCCAATGATGCAACAGGTGCTTTGCCTAGAAACCTGGGCCACTAAGTGAAGTAATCTTTCCATGTGTTATTAATGAATATGAGATTTGACCCTCAGTGTTTACCCCTAAGATCTATCTAAACCTGTGGCTGAGGGTAGCTCCATGACCATTGCTCACTTACATACTTCTCCTTTTCAGCTCCATAGAATGGTTGAATCAATAGGACAGTTTGTAACTCGCAGTTTGTTTTGTCTGGAGTCTTGCAGTGCTAGTGGCTTGGGGCTGGCTGAAACATTTGTGGACTGAATGCATCACACCTTGAGCACAAGCTGCATTTGAGCTCATTGTGATGAACTAATCCAGAGCTTCCCCATGCCTGATGCCCGAACACATCTCTGCAGATATACCCTAGACCCCCACCATTCTTTGCCCTACAAATACTAATAAAACTAGGAGGGAAAGGTATTTTCCCTGCAATACAGGATGATGCAGCTGCAGTTAGTGGAGATGCTGAGATGCTGGAGCCTCCACGATATGAAAAATGTGTACTTTGACTAAATGCATAAGTGTAATATTGCATATGCAATAAAAAAATGTCATTGTATTTGTTTTGTTTGTTTTTTTTTTCCTGTGGCTATAACAATGCAATAATAATATCACACAAAACTTGTGCAGAGCACAGAATGAGCACATGGCCATTTCATGGGTTTAGAAAGTTTAAAAGTAGTAACAGTACAACCACATTTGTTCTGTCATCTGCAAATATTAATTAGCATAGTGCACATGGTTCCTCAGAAGGGAGAGAGGACTGCTCAAGATTAGCACCACTCCATTAATTTCATTTACACTCTTTCCATCCACCCTACAGCTGGCAGGTTTTCCAAAATAATGCTACCAGACTACAAAAAGGTGTAAAATTAAGAAAGGAGGTGCTCAATAAATAAATGAAGTCAGCATTGAGTGAATATAACATTACTTATGACACACATTATTTAGAATATTCAGTCAGATCTCTTTTATAAGCAATTGATATTCCTGGTAGTCTGTTCATAATGTTGTCAAGAGAGTTAGAAGGATGTTAACATTTCATTACTCTTGTCATTGATTTTCCTCTTCTTTCTTCACAACAGAAGTCAAAACGTGACCTCTTATTCCACTGAATTAGTTCCAGAACACTTGGTATTATTGACCTCCTAATGAAAATTAATGGCGGCTCTTTTGATTCAGTCTTTCAAGTAGGCACACCAAGCACATTTAAAACACAGGCATGGTTATTTCTCATACTGAAGTAACACACTGTTAAGTAATGAAATGTACATTAATGCAATATTAAATTTGCAAATTTAAGTGCACAGAATTCAAGAAATTTAAACTGCATTATCAGGAGATGACGCTGGAAAGATTTAAGCTTGGCAATAATTTCAGACCTGGAGAGTTAAGGGGTTTTACAAGGAATGCTATATGTACACTTAGACCATTCAGCCTCAGGTCCTAAATTTATAGTAAAATTCTGGCAAGACTGAAATGCTTTTACTATGCAGCAGAGAAATTTACACATTAGCCTAGATCTTTCCATGCTCTTCATTCTCCTTTTATGCTAGAGAAGAATGCAAATTCTTCTCAGTAATTTTTGACTTTTGACTCATGAGCTGTCACCCTGCAGTTGAATGGATTTCCTTCATCCAGATTCTTACGTAAACTAAGTTCTGTCTATGCATATGGAACCTTTCTTCCTTGCATCTGTGTAACTCAGGATTATCTCTACCAGGTGAAACAGGAAAGCTGAATGGATGCATATCTGGAGACTGGTTGAAAGCTTGCCATTTTATCAAAACCATTTCCTCTTCCTGGAAAATTCTCCCAGAAATAATACCTGGGAAAATATCTGGGAAAACTGCTAGAATAAGAAATAAACTAACTTAATTTCCCTCTTTCCTTAGACAACAAAGATTATGATGCATATCTATCTTATACCAAAGTGGATCCTGACCAGTGGAATCAAGAAACTGGAGAAGAAGAAAGATTTGCTCTTGAGATTCTACCAGATATGCTGGAAAAGCATTATGGATACAAGTTGTTCATACCAGACAGAGATTTGATTCCCACAGGAAGTAAGTAATGTCTTTATTCTCATGTGATATTGAAGGAGAACATGAGTGATTGCAGTGATTGTTTTAGTCTTGTTTCTATACCTACTCCTTCAGAATGTCATCTTTTCTCCCATGCCTCAGAGAATGGTGAGGATAAGCCACAAAACATTAATGTGCATTTCCCAGATATGAGGAAATTTATTATTTAGTAATTGTATTGTTTTAATTGAAGGTAAAACAGTGCAGAAAGGGGATGCAAAAGTAAAGGAAATGAAAGAGACTAACATTTTTCAGAGTTTTTGAGAAATTGCATATCTAGGAATGAATACCAAGTTCTTTCTTTTCAGTTCCTTAGATTTTGTTTGGAAAGATATCCATGATTCTAGTATTCCAGTGAGTATTACAGAACTCACACATCAAGGAAAAAGCTGTGTTTGGACTAAGGCAATGGTTAAGTAATAACTTCTACACCAGAAAAAAGTAGTGAATCCTGTCAGTGTCCACTGCAGACAATTGTGTAGTGGATGTACTTGATCATTCTCTGAGACTTAAATTGATTCCAGCTGGTACAAGTAGATCTTTTTCATGTTCCTCTCACATATTCCAACATAACTGCAGTAATATTTTGTCAGTTGCTGTAATATTCTCCATGACTTCAGTGTGACCATATAGACAGTGACTAAGTTCAATACCTTTAGTGAAAGATGAAAGAAAGGATACTTGATGTAGACAAACAATATAGAACATCAAACAATCTAATGGATATTTTTTAAATCTACAGCCATCTAAACTCTAATTTACAGGAGATAACAATTTTTATGAGTGTGTGTGGCAGGGGCATGAAAGAAAAACAGAACCTAAGCTTACCAAAAAACTTAGAGTATCATTTGGATTTGAGACTGAGGTCCTGAAGCACATGGCTGCTGCTCTGTTGTCTAACTGGGTGACGTTGCCTTTTTAAAATCGTGGTGGACATATTTGTTCCAATAGCAATATAGATGATACAAGGCCACAGCTCATGAAAAAACACTCAGAATCCATAGCACGTGTGGGAATAGATGTTTTGCAGGATCACAGGATGGCTGAGGCTGGAAGGGGCCTGGGGAGGTCATCTTCTCCAGCCTCCCTGTTTGAGCAGGTTGCTCAAGATCATGCTCTGCCAGGCCAGCCTGGCACATTTATAAATGATGTTTTTGCATATTTCAGTGAGATCTTCTGGGAGCAGGGATTTGCCTCCATTGTTTCTCTCCAGTTTATGAGACCAGACTGTTTCCTTAGATTGTTTTTTGAGCAATTGTTTTATTTTGTAGCCTACATTGAAGACGTGGCAAGATGTGTAGACCAAAGCAAGCGACTGATTATCGTCATGACTCCAAGTTACGTGGTAAGAAGAGGTTGGAGCATCTTTGAACTGGAAACAAGGCTTCGAAATATGTTAGTCACTGGAGAAATCAAAGTGATACTGATTGAATGCAGTGAACTACGAGGAGTTATGAACTACCAGGAGGTTGAGGCCCTAAAACATACCATCAAGCTCCTCACTGTCATTAAATGGCATGGACCAAAATGCAACAAGTTGAATTCCAAGTTCTGGAAACGTTTACAGTACGAAATGCCTTTTAAGAGGATTGAACCCATGACAAACGAGCAGGTTTTAGATGTCAGTGAGCAGGGGCCCTTTGGGGAACTGCAGACAGTCTCCGCAATTTCCATGGCTGCTGCCACCTCCACTGCTCTTGCCACTGCCCATCCAGACCTGCGCTCCACCTTTCATAACACATATCATTCACAGATGCGCCAGAAACACTATTACCGGAGCTATGAATACGACGTACCTCCTGCCGGCACCCTGCCTCTTACCTCAATAGGTAACCAGCACACCTACTGCAACATCCCCATGACACTTATAAACGGGCAGCGGCCGCAGACAAAAACTAACAGGGAGCAGAACCCCGAAGAGGCTCACACAAACAGTGCCATACTGCCCCTCTTGCCACGGGAGACCAGTATATCAAGTGTCATTTGGTGACCGACATGCAAGGGGCTGTCAACCCCCTTGAGTAGGAGCAGAGTCTGCAGTCTGGTGCCTGGAACTACATCCTCGACTGCTGCTGTTAAACATGCATTACAATCGATAACAAACGAGGAAAAACAGGGTCTTGTACATATGTTTTTTGCAATTTCTTTGTAGCATCAGTCTTCCTGTTTTACCCATGTCTCTTCCCATTCACATTTTTGACTTTGTTTTATATGTCATTGGAATTTGTATATTTACATTTTTTTTAAATGAAGAGACTGCTGTATAGATAGGAAACTTTTTTGCTTCATTAGTATAGTTTTAGACTTTTTGTTTGTTTGTTTATAACCTCTTTTGGGAATGCTTGGACAAAGCTATGTTGATATCAGAAGCACCATCCATTTTGTTGGCCTGCCTAGCCATGCCTGCTGCAGCTCACCTCTTTTGGAGAGTTTTTGTTCTTAGAAGGACCCCACTGCTCACTGAGAGCTCCAGTTTCATTTCTACTCCCGTAATGTGCACTGCTCCTTCCCTGCCCTTACAAAGGCCCCCATTTGGGGTAACACTACAGTCTGACCATCTAACATGTAACTTGGTAGATACCTGTCAAACAAGAGAAAATACCCAATCTGTATTGGTTGCTTCACAGTAGTCACTAGAGTGTGTAGAAACTATAGCCGGTTTGGTTTTTGCTTTCTTGGGTTTGGTTTTTTTCCTAATTCTTATTTTAAGAATGAGTTGGTTGTATCCCTTTTATAAATATAAAGGCAACCCTATTTTTAACACGTCCTGGAAAATTATTAATGTGGTTGTGGATTTTATTTTTTAAGCACTCATTTTTTTTCTTTCTCAACTTTCAAAATCTTGCAAATAACATTTGCAAATGTCAGGCAAGTAAGACAAGTGAGGCAATAGACACTGAAATGCAGAGTCCTGCTGATATGTACAGTGATGACTTCCAAACCAAAGGGGAATAAAAAAGACAGTATTGTAGATGGTTTGTCACTTTGTATTATAGAAAGTGTTATTTTCAAAAAAAAAGTAAGAGCAAAACATTATTTTCCTGTGGATTTCAGAGTCCCTTGTATTTTAATGTTCCAAAAACTGTATTTGCTTTAAAATTATATATTCAAGATTAAGAAATCTTCTTTCATTTGGTTTTAGCTTGTAACAATAAATAAAACTTTATTAATTTCAACATGATTTCAGTAAGAACTCAGGCAGAACAAAATGACGTGATTACCAGAAATATAACTGTTTTCAGAATATACTTTATTTATACAAAATTAATATTTAAATCAGACCTGGAAGTATTAAAAACAGTTTATTCACTTTAATGAATAAATAAATTAGTTTTATTTTTATGTATGATTCCATCTTTGAGGAGTTGCAAATAATGCATGTACCATGACTGACAGGGAAGAATAAAAGCCCACCACTGTGTTTACATCCAGACATCTTTGAGACAAACTAAATAAGCACCTTGCTCATACTTATGTTTTAAATAACAAAAAGTCCTTTCTGGTTTTAGAAGGAGAGAGTAGAGGTGCAGCTCTGCAACAAATTCAGGCCAAGCTCTCTGCTAGTCCCTGCTGGCAGAAGCAGAGGAGTTGGAGTAGAGTTACTGGTTGCAGCACACTGTCACAGAGCCATGGGTTTGATTTACCCTGGCAGAATCATAACTGGTGTCCTGGCAAACAGGCCTTAGAGTCTATTTATGTAATTAATTAGCTTTAGGTGTTTTTATGGCAGCTGAATGATATTGCCCAATATAATGGATGTCGTGTGGTTTGCTCATCATGATTGTCACAACAAGAAAAGTAGAGCTTATAATTTTGGTCTTAATGAGAAGTGAGTGGAGAAGCTGCAGTTTTGGGGATATTTGTGGGAGCAATCCAGAAGTGACAGTGTGGGAGGAAATGACTGTGCTTCTGTTGTGAAAGTCAAGAAACCTCAATATCTGCATAAGAAGCTAATAGACCTTTGAGGTGTACACTTTTATTTTGCTTTAAATGTTTATTTCTCTGAGATTAAGCTCAAGTCCTTTTCACAACCTTTTCTTTATTATAGTGTCTCTGGACATGTGCCAAACATCCACAAAATGGAAATTAGGCTGCCAGGTCACATAAAATTTTAAGGGAACTTTGCACATTTGCTTTAAGAAAGCTATTATTTATTTGCTCTTACAGACACCTGTCAGGCACTGATGGCATTTTCCTTCATTCATTTGGATGCCTGTCCTGGTTTTGACTGGGCTGAGGGGGGAAGGGGACGGGTTGAGTGAGTGACAGTGTGGTACTTAATTTCCATCTGGGCTTAAACCACAACAGTCCCAAATATCCCGGGATCCTCTGAAAGCAATGCATTATTTTTTTCCCCTTTACATGCCCTGGTGTAAAGACTGGGATGTGGAATAAATTTAGGATGTAATTATTTGACAATTGGTAGGTCTTTCCTTAGGCACATGGGAAGTACTTTTCTGTTCTTCTATTTTTATGCACTTTGAATAGCATGATTCAGGGATTGACAAATACTATTTGATATTCTCACTACTTAAAGGAAGTTTTTCTTATAATGTTTCGTCATAATATTAAATATAAGAAAAAACAAACAAACAAAAAAAAGAGAAACAAACCACAAAACCTGAAGTGGAGAAGTTGTCTGTGGCTTTAGAAGCATTCCTCCTTAGTATTCCTCTTCTGTGAACAGCTCTGTGTGGGGAACCGTGAAGGAAAGTGTTGTGTGTTCACGTGCTCTATGTTTGACAAAAATTCTGTTGGAATGCAAGATAAAATGGAAACAAACAAACAAGCAAACAAACCAAAACCAACAAAAATTGTCATTGCCCTAGTGCTTAGGCTCCATCATTTTTGGTGAAGGTGTTTTGATTTTTGACAATGCAGCCTGAAATGTGCATGCAATAGCCACATATAAGGTTTAGCCATAAGCAAATAGCACTTTATTTTTAAAAAGGCACAGTGTGATGATCAGAAAAACTTACTCTGCCTGGTCAGTAACTTTGGGTCTGTATGTGGATTCTATGCACGTGAATTATCCAAGTGTGGTGCTCTGTCTTTATTAGGCTCTCTCTAATCGTGGTAGTCCATGTTATAAAAAGACTCTTGTCACACAGCTTGTATAAATTCAGTATATAGGTTCTCCAGAGAGCATATATAGCTGGAAAGAAATAGGAGACTGTATAGAATGCAGCTAATGATTTTGAAGGCAAAATGCATTGCTGGGTCTGATTCTGTTCTCAGTTACAGCACTATGCTTTCAGAGTAAATCAAATAAATCTGAATGAGTGCAAGATTGATTTGTGTGGGAGAAGAAAATTGGAAAAACAAAGAGAAAAGGAATTCATATTTGCAGTCTGTGACAAGCTGAAATACTGGCTGCAAGGAAAGAAACAGCAAAATGCCTTCTGGATTTTAGTGGGGACCCAGTTCTCACCTGGCAGCCAACATCAAACACTTTCAATATTATCTGTTTTTCAGAGTTCAATATTGTTAGGCTTAGATGCAAACTAAGATTTTTTTATTTCTGCACAGCTGTGAAAACCATGTGTATTTCACATAATGGGTGATAATCAGTTCCATAATAGTCAGAAAGCTTGTTATACCCACCTGATCAAAATTCACAAAATTTTATTTGGGTATTGTACATTAATGACTTATTTAAATTATAGATAGAGCAGTAAGATTTGGGGAAAATGACCTAGTAAAAAGGATTCCTTCATTTTTACACTAAAAAAAAAAAAAAAAAAAAAAAAAAAAGAAAGAAGAAAATGTCAAGCTAGTAAGCCCAAGGAGAATTTAATTAAAATCCAAAGAAGGAAGAAAAACCACAGTAGTAAAGCTCAAAAATAGAGCAATGGCCAATGGATAATAAAGGGTTATGGTTTCTTTTGTCATGCAAAGCTCTGTACTCTGGCTGACCTACATCAAGCAACTGGCTTTTTTGGAGGCCATCCAGAGAGATCAGCAGCACAAATATGTCCCTGTATGTCTAATACACTTCCGAATTATTTTGTACTTGTTGATAGTCCAGCACAGAGAGATTTTTGTTTGTCTTCTATTGTTGTTATAAAGAGGATGGCAAAAATCTGTCAGCACTAAAAAAAATGTCTGTAACAGACTTAGTTTATTAACTAGAGTAACTATATTCCTTCACTTCCACCCCCTATCTGGTCTGCTGTTATTAAGACCCAGTTGAGAAATAGGTTAAAGTGGCTGGTAACAGAAAAAATGTAAGCAACCTCATAACAATGAGTTTCCTTGTATTATGAGGGTTGCAAGTTCCCTTGCTTTTTTTTTTTTTTTTTTTTTTTTTATAAGCACATCTCTTCACCTCCTAAATAGCCCACTGAGTAGAGGTTGAAGAACACTATTGTGTCTTTAATTTCAGATTCACTGAATTTAGCATGGATACTGAGCTGTTGTGATGTAATTCTGCAGGGCCATTTTCCTTTGACTCTGTCCCTATCCTCCAAGAAGACACTGGCAGCATCACACTTCGCCAAACAGCCTTGACTTGATGTTCCAAAACTCAGAGTTGTTGCCCCCTGGGGAGCAAAAATGATAAAAATGTTTCAGCTTTTAAGTGTTTTCCTTTTTTTTTTTTTTTTTTTTTTTTTTTTTTTTTTTTTTTTATAAAGAAGTGCAAATGAGAACAGGCAGCTGCACCACATGTCTATGCCTGAGAAGCTCCACAGAGGGGAAAGTGTGTTCCTGTGCATGGAGGAGGAGGTCATGGGCCCCTCTGGCCTCATGTTTAGTTACTTCTGCGTCAGGTGGGTGCAGAAGGAACCTCAAGGTATCACTACTGTCCTACCTGCTGTAGGCAACTCAGGGAAGGCGAGCAGTAAGTTGCTACTGATGTTAGTGAAAATAAGCATGAGAACTATCAGATGTAGAGGGACAGATACCCTGTGGCAAAGCAGCTGGAAGAGCAGGAACAGCTGGCAATATCTCCCATTTGCTCCATGTTCAGAGTAAACTCCAGCACCGAGC